GGGGGAAGGGGGACCCTGTGGCGGGCAGCGGTTGACGGGGGTTGGGTTGCAGCGGTTCAGTCGGGGGGAGTCAGCGAGGGTTGTCTCGCCAGGGTGGTCGACATGGGGAGGGCACAGCGCCGTTAGCATGAGCCTGCCGCGGACCATGTGCAGGGCACATTCAGGGCCCACTCCCCTGTCTATCGGTACCTGGTTGTCGGTCAGAAGGTCGACAACAAGGGGGTCATGATGCTCCGTTGGACGTTTTGCGACGAAGTTTTCCAAGGGACCCAATTTCAGGCCACGAGGCACTTCACGCAGACAAACTACTGCAAGGACGTCAGCGACGAGGCGTTGTACGAGATCGCTCGACAAAGTCAACAGAAGTTCGAGGCTGATCAGATGGAGAGGTTTGCCAGGTATGCAGCGGAGCGCGGACTCGATGTGCCCCGCACGGGTGGTGCAAGGGGAGGAGAGGCGGGGCGGCGTCCGGTGGAGGGAGGGGTCGGGGGAGATGGTGGGCATGGTGTGCCAGACCCCCCCTTGGGGGGTGGAGGCGATGAGACGGAGGAGGGCATAATCCACGTCGATCGCGAGGCGCGTGGCCCGGGCGAAGAGGGAGTCCCGGAATGGGAGGACGTGCCAGAGTTTTATCTAGGCATTGGGGAGAGGTTGGAAGACTGACGGAGGCGAGCAAGCAAGGGAGCTGCAACGGAGGGGTCTTCCAAGAGGAAGGAAGGAGGAAGTGATCCGGCTGCCACCCCAGCAGGAAAGAGGCTTCGCCAGCAGAAGGTGACTGATGTCTACGGTGGCGAGTGGAATGCTCGCCACAAGAAGACATTCCTTCGCTGGCTGTATTCCAGCGGGATCTCCTTCAATGCCTTCCACAACGAGGCTTGGAAGGCATATCAACATGTGCTTCTTGAGCAGCCTGACAGTTCCCCGCGCGCTGTGCTCCCCAACCACTGCGAGATTGCGAGTATGCGGGCGGTGGAGACCCACCGTGCGGAGCTGACGGAGGAGTTGGAGGAGGTGAGGCAGCCATTCTGGGTGACTGGTGCCACCCTCCTCTCCGATGGGAGGAAATCACGAGACGGGAGACCGATCGTGAATTTCCTTGCCGCTGGCTCGCGAGGAGTCGTCGTGTACACGACGATCAATCGAGAGAGCGAGGCTGACGATGCTGTGCACGTTCTTCGAAAATGGGTTACCATCTTCCACGAGTTCAGCTTCGGTGGGCCGCAGCAGATCAATGCGATATGCACTGACTCCGCTTCTGCTTATGTGGGGGCTGCAAGGGCATTGGTCTCGCCGTCCATGCCTCTTGCACTAAGGAGGATCACTTGGCTTCCGTGCTCCGTCCATGTCTGCAACAAATTGTTGTCTGACATGGGGACGAGTTGCGACGCGTTTGTGGACGCGATCACACGCGCTCGTGTGCTGGTGGTGTTTTTCAAAACCCACCAGACCGCCCTTCATTTTTTTAGGACGCGCAGCCCCGACAAGGGGCTTATTCTTTCTTGCGAGACACGGTTCGCGTTTGTTTACTCCATGCTAGAGAGGTTGTTGGCCCTGCAGGACACTCTGCAGGACATGATGCGAGGGGATGACGCGCGGGCTTTTGCTTCCATCCCGTGATCCGCCGATGTGTGCGTCATGGCGCGTTGGGTGCGCCGACAGATCAGATGGGATCCATGGTGGCAGAGGGTGGCCACCATCGTCCATATCATGCAGCCCGTCATGGAGTTGCTTGGGCGGATGGTCGTGGAGGACAGTACATATCCCTCATGATCGAGTGGACGCAAGATCTTGTCCGCCGTGTCACGGACGCATGCGCCCCTTTGGGGAAGTCGTTCGCCGACCGGATCATCAGGCGTGTGCAGGCTCGCACACAGCACATGCTTGAGTCGGCTCACTGCGCAGGGTTCTTACTGAACCATTGCAGGCGACACGTTCGCTACTTTTCGGGCCGGGTTGATCGGTACCATGCTTGGCTTGTGGGGCAAGCCAAGAGGTACATTCTGACGCAGACGGGTTTCGAGTTGGAGGGTGCGGACTACATCCTTGCATGTCGGCAGTTTAAAGACTTCCACATTGAACAGGGCAGGTTCGGGGATTGGGGCGGGGCGGAGGGGCGTGCTCGTGGGCGCGCGTGCAGCAGCGACGTCGAGACGATTGAGTGCGCATCTTGGTGGTCTCTGTTCGGGTCGGGCGCGCCAGAGTTGCAGTGTTGCGCTCTTCGGGTGATGCACATGTGGTCTTGCGCCTCTTCAGCGGAGAGGAACTGAGCAGTCCACGAGGGCATTCACACGAAGAAGCGCAACAAGTTGGCCTTCGAGAAGGTCGTTCAACTCGTTGAGATCACCGCAAATGTGCGGTTGACGGAGTATCGGCGGGCTGGATGCGGTTATGTGTTGCCATGGCAGCGGGACGAGGGCATGCAGGATTGCCAGGCAGGACTCGAGTTGGAGCCTGTGTGCTCGGGGACTCGCAGGGGGATGACGGAGGAGGAGATTGCCCATCAGGTTGCACTTATTACCCGCGATCCCATCGGGGTGTCCTCACCACCCTTTGCTGATGTCGTTTTCGATAGACGTGCTTGCATTTTTCGTCCCTACCCCAGGGAGGACGACTCAGACGAGGAGTCGGTACCCGAGGCGGCAGATGACCCTGCGCTCCACATTCCTCGCGAGATCGACGAGACGCACGAGGATCTCGACTCCGAGGAGACGAGGGCACACACTGCACGACGGGCGGCAGACCGGGCGGAGAGGGAGATGCTGGGGGGAGAGGAGGAGTTTTGGGGCCCATTCGAGGAGGTCGCTTCCACGGGCGGCCCAGAGGTTCAGGCGACGACCCCCACTCCGACGAGGCGGGAGTCGTCCATGCCGCCACCTCCTGCTCCAAGTCCTGCACCACCATCGCCCGTCTCCCCACTTCAGCCGGCCACGGCAACGGCGGACAGGGAGGAGTTGGGGTCCTCTTTGCCTCAGCGCGGACTTCTCCACAGAGGTGGGGCAGTCCGCCAGCTGAGGTTACGATCACCTTCCCCGGGGATATTGCAGGAGGAGGGGGCACCGTCGGCCGCAGCAGTGGAGAGTTCGGTGGCACCAGCGGCGGTGCCGGACGCGATGATCGCAGCCTCGGTGGAGGAGATAGCAGCAGCAGCAGCAGCAGCAGTGTTGGAGGAGATGGAAGCATCACTGCTGGAGGAGGATCCACCAGCGGCAGGAGGAGCTGCAGTAGCAGGAGGAACAGGTGGAGGAGCAGCAGCAGTGGAGGTTGAGGTGGCAGCAGTAGTGGAGGTTGAGGTGGCAGCAGCAGTGGAGGTTGAGGTGGCAGCAGCGGTGGAGGAGGAGGAAGCACCGTCGGTACCTGCAGTGGAGGGGGAGGTGCCAGGACCAGTGGAGGAGGAGATAGCCGCACAGGCCGAGGTGCAGCGTGGGGGCGATGACGAGCGCCTCATGCAGCAGTTCCTCACGGAGGAGCTCGATCCGGTCATAGCGGGTATGACTCGGGGTGTGGCGAGGGGGTTTGGGATTTCGGATTCGGAGATGGGGACCCACTTAGACTTTGATTTGTCGATGGGCCTTCCACCTAGTTGCGGCGGGGCGACATCAACAGACCGCGCTCCATCGAGGGACGAGGCGCCAGGACAGACTTTGACGCAGACCGCGAGAGAGACGAGGATGACTGAGTCTCCAGATGCAGCACGCGACATCATGGAGCGAAAGAGGGCTCGACTTTTGGCATCGAGTGATCCGCGTGCTCAGGCGTTCGCATGGGCCTTAAAGGAGGCCAGACTTCGAGAGACAGGGGGGGATTGTGTGCAGGGTGTGGTGGTAGTGGGGGAGGACGTTGCGGAGGGAGTGGCAACAGAGGCGGTCGATGAGGCTATGCCGGGTGGAGCAAAGGCAGCGGACGTTGCTGTGGAGGGACGGCCACAGGCGGTGGATGAGGCTGTGCAGGCAGGACAGCGGCGAGTCGAGGGGGCTATAGACGCACGGCACGTGGTCGAGGAGACAGCGACGGGTCCAATCGTTCCGTTCTCGGGCCTGCACTTGGCTCAGGGTCGACAGTCGCAGGCGGTTCAGATGGCAGTGCATGGTGTGCCACCGCCCGTTGGGGTCCGAGCCGGTGGTTGTGCCCCCACGTCTTAATAGCCACTTTGCTCCGCAGGAGGTCCGTCGTCCTTTGGATGCAGAGGAGTTGGCGGGAGAGGCTGTGCGCGATGTTACTCGATTGGACCGGCGGATCTTCGACCGGAGGCTCGAGCATCCAGCATGGCAGACGATCCCTTCGGTTCCATGGGGTCCTGCGTCGCCCGTGTGGTCTGGGTCTACCTCCACCGGAGAACATACCGTGGACATGTTCCAGGGGTTTCGGATGGCGTGACGGAGACAGCGCCACGCACAGGACATCCCCTCCTCCCAGAGCACCTGTAGGTGATCCATCATCGTCGCCCACACGCAGAGGCTCTCGATCCCCACACACGCCTGGGAGATGTAGGATTCGTGACACGACAGCAGTTCAGCAGGACGTGTGTGACACGACGATATTCGGGAGGACAAACATAGATTTGGATTCCACCCGCCGTGTCACGGAGCACACTGCACGCCTTCAGCCGGGCTTCGGACCCCGCGGCGCCAGGACGACCGCGGCGAGGGAGGTACCGGCATCAGATTGTGAGTCTCAGCGAGGTCGCGGCAGAGGAGTATCCACCGAGAGCTTGCTGTGTATACGCCCGTACGTATACGAGCCGTACAAAAGTACGTACGACCGTACGTACGGGCCCCTATACCCCCGTACGGGCCGTACGTATGGAAATCGGGCCCCTCGTGCGGGACCTTCCGGGGGGGGGTTGGGGGGG